GATTTTATTGTAATCAGGCCTCATTTACATTTTTATCTTCTAGCTTTTTTCACGCTCGTTTTTATTCTCATTTTTTCGCACCCCCATTCGTATACATTTTCGCTTGCTCGCCACATTTTTCATTTGTTAAAGGCTATAGACTGATAGCCGAAAGCTTATGTTTTTAATATATTTTTCACCAGAGAACGTTTTTATTCCAATATGTCTCATCCTGGTTACAGTTCTAAAATTAATTATAGTTGATTACAACAAGATACCGCCAAATATAACTGTTACCTAATATATACTGACAATATTTCAATCCTTTTTTTTCTCCAGACTGTAATATTAGGGGGAAAAATTATTTCATGCCAGGCTATAACTTTTTAAAAGGAAAATTGTGTACTACTATAATATTTGAATAATGTAGTAGATACCGCAATTGCATATGCATGGTGCTAAACAGCTTGTACCATCGAATAAGCACTGTAAAATGTTTATCGAGCAAATATTATCGCCGTCTACGATTCCAAAGTTCCTGTGTGTGGCAAAGTTTGTAATATTCCTTTTAATTCCGTTAAATGTTTCGAAGCATCACTTAACCCAGGGCAGAGAGGAGGAGAGTTCGAGCTGCATTTGTGTTCAAATCTGTCTTTACTTAAGGCATAGAAATAATCATCGGTAGTTGGGATCGTGTGTCGTTTTCCCAAGGGAAAATGTAACCTGGTTTTATTTGTAGCGTGATTGTATAGACATTTGCTTAAATCAAGCAGCTTCTATGAACAACTTGCTTTAACTTCACTGCACTGTTGCTCGAGTCGTTCAATAATTCCTTCAGCAATCTGCAGATAATTATCTGGGTCAATCTCTCTCGTGTGGTGCTTCAATTGTTTCAAACTTAAACGACGAGCTTCATATACACATGAGTTTATCAGTGTTTGTAGCTCGTAGTTTTGCCCAACGATTAGCACGGCTAATACGTCGTTTTCCTTCCTTGTTTTCACCGCCGAAACCAGAAAATCTTCGCACTTCCGAGTAATGGAGTCTATCTGATATTCGCGAGCAAGATCCAAGAGGAAGTAACAGTTATTACTTGAGATGACTTTCTCCTCTAACGATGGGTACATCATTTGAAGCAGCTCGTTAATTTCACTCGCTTTCTTCCCTGGAAGCGGAATTTCACCCGAGTTCTTTTCTTTAAAGTCATACGTGAACATCCGCTCAAACACTGGCGACCAGAAGGCCAGCGTGCTTCGATGAACATGAAATCTCTGTTCTTCAACCACAAGTACCACATCGCTGAACTTCCAAGGCTCTGAGAAGTCGGGTGGATCAGGTGAAGCACTGCTTGGTTTATCCATTGTACAGCAGCTCAACGGAAATGTGGTGGATTTCAATTGCGTTGCTAGAACTCGAGGTATCTCTCGTTTACTTCACGCCATATGATGTAACTGCTGAAAGCGTATATATTTATTTTGAAAGTTGAAGGCAGTACTGATTCAAATTGAATACATTTATTCAGCCAACCCACGTTTCTACTGGACGAAAAAGTGACGGTAGTTACAACATATGACGTCAACGCTGTATTGCCATGGTAACTCCGATGCCAATGAAGAATTTGAAAGAAATGGGTGAAGAACCGTACCCTGGATAGAGAAGTATAATCAGTTCAGTCGATCCGGGATGACATGGAAAATGCTAGAAAAACCCGGGTGCCATCACTGATCGAAGTTGAAACAAACACAGGAAATTGAAGATTTCAAATTTCATGCATTAGGACCTTAGTCCTCTGATGCTGTCGGTTTGGCTCGTATTGACTTCACGCATCAGATTTAAACACGGATAAAGGCTAAAAGTTATTCTTATGATGCAATGTATCAAATATAAAAAAAAAAGGTTTGCCATCCCTTTTTTACGTACTTGATGCTACTGCGAAAACTAAAGCGAAAAAATTGCACAATTTAGGACAATCGAGAAAATTCACATTTTTTGGGAACAGCAGTGAGATCCGAGAAAGTAACCGAAAGTAAAAATACGAGTTTCTAGGAAAGCGAATTGATGCTATTCCTAGCTTCCAGGAAAAGCTTTGGGGAATTCATGTTTAAATGTGAAAATAACATACCTATTTTAAGACATAAGTAGTCTGGCCAGTAATTTTTATTTACTTATTTATTTTTTACGGATACTTATTCACCGGCAGTAAACGGAGATTATTCTCATTTCTTCGAATCAAACGAATGTATGCACTGTTGAAATGAATAATAAGTCGAGTTACAACAACACCCTATTCGACATGTATATTCCATCGCTTGTGTCACATTAAATGTTTTTAACTCTGTGACGTTGCAGTTAGCCTTGGAACCCTCATCTATAACAGGGCTGCTGGTAGCGGCTAAGACTTTCTACAATTCCCTCGACGATTCTAGCCGTTTGTAAATATGTCGCTCAGCATTATCTTATGACTTTGAATATTTCAAGCCCTCAGCTTAAGAGTTTTGTTAACGATTGTTCAAAGAAGACTCTCAAACTTCTAGGTCTCTGTAAATTGCACATCAGCGCAGGGCTCGAAATTGCGACTCACTCAAAAATTGAGCACTGCCGCCTAAGTTTTCACAACTGGTGGCCAACTGGCGACTCGCGATTTGTCCGATAACTACAGATAACCTTAACCACAACACAACTTTTGTTTCAAGTCTTTAGATAGGGATATTATTCGGATCTGGTAGCTAGTAAACAATTCAGCGTTCTATTCCCTCTAAAATAATGTCTGAATATTACAAGAAAATTGTAAAAATTAAATGTACTTCGACATGCCAAAACTGCGTTTACCAAGCGCCATATTGTTTCATTGGCCTCTTCAAAAACTGAGATCGCGGGCGCACTACAACACCAAGCGCTTTTCATTTGCCGCGAGAACAATAGCGGCAGATGCAATCAGTTGTGTAGGCCAGGAGGCTAGGGCAAGCACAGTGTTGTCTATCAGCGGCGAAAGACGACGAAAATAAAGAACTACATTTTGAAGAAATACGAAAGGACCCGTGTTTGTCTCACCATGAAAACCACGGACTCAGTTAAAAGTTTTTGTGCTTCGCTCCATTTAAAATAAC